TTAGGCTAATTTCTCTCAATTGCTAAAAGCATCAACTCTCCCTATTGGCATGTAACCGCTGAGAGAGCCTCAAAAGTACAATTGTTGGGTTGATTTGTTTTTCCTACCTCCAGGAAAAGTTTGCAGATAACTTAAAAAAAAAACACTACATTTTTTTAAAATAGGGCCATATTGAAAACATAGAAGTTAGAAAGACTTTAATAACTCACAATAAACCCTTGTTCAGTCTCTTCTGTTGACTACATGTAAACATGGTAAATTAAAGGCCTTTATAGTGACATCTAATCCCTCAACCCCCCTCCTAGCTTTATCCTCCCCCCCCACCCCCCAACAGATCCTGGGGTAGTTTAGCCTTCGTTTTCTCACAGCTTGGTGTTTTCCCGAGCTATCTAATTTATCATTAACAACCCGACACTAAACTAAATAAATGAAACTGCCCCCTCCAATCCACCTCCCTACCTTGCCCTTAGCCCATATATTTCCCCAGGAGCCTTTGACTTGAAATATCTCAAAATATTTACTGAGGGCTGGTGGGTGCATTCTCTCCTCCCCCTTTTCCAGCCCTCCTCCCTTTCCCCTGGGAAGTTGTATGCAGATAATTAACATCCTTATTAAATGACCCCCTTTTAAAAAGATAATAACAGTCAGGGGGTCATTTCACTGGGCTGGGATCTGAGGCGAGCCTGCCACTCCAGCAGCAGGAGCCCAGCGTTCCCGCTCGGCAGAACCGGCCTTTTGCACGGTTTTGGAAATGTGTCCGGATCCCTGGATGTTCCCGAACTTTGCTTTTAGATGTGAAGAGGCTTTAAACCGGGGAGGGGGACGGGGGGAGGAATAACTTTGACATTGACTCCTTCGCTCCGTGCAAGGGAGTTTTAAAGGAGGAAGGGGCGCGGGGGGATCTTGGCTGGCAATTATATAGACTGTGGGTTTCACCTTTTTTTTTTTTAAGGAGCAGTGTGATGATCTAGCCTGACCTCCTGCCTATCGGAGGGCATAGGCTGGTGGCGCTGTATCCCAATAAATACATGATCGCGTAAAGATTTGTGGGATCCCTGCCCTCCGATTGCCCGATTCCAGAGCCCCTGTTCTACTGAGAAACAAAAGAATTGGATGGACGTTTCCCAGGTCAGGATCTGAGGTTCAGAGTTTGTATTGGCAATATTATTTGAAGCCCTTGCCAGAATAGAAGCCCCGTGTGTTCTTTGGTTCGTAGATTCATTGTTTATTATATTATTTATTATTACTGTGGGATGGGGTTGTTTTTTTTTTACATTTGTCGCTGCTAGTCTCGGGAGCCGAGATCTTTCGCTCTTTGGTGGGTTTTCCGGGGGAAAAGATTTCACTGATTCCAGAGGAGGCAGCCAGTCCCCTGGCCCTCCAAGAGAAATTCCTGGATGGGGAGCAGATTCTGTGAGTATTCGTGGCTGGCCTACAAATCAGGCGGAAGTGGCTACCGATTTGCGATGGAATGTTTAGGGGAAATGTTCCATTCAGGCGACATTTGTCCGGAGAAACCCTTCCATAAACGGCCACGCACTCATGCGCACAATCCATCAGACCCATGCAAGCCAGACAAACACACACACAAAGTAATCAAATAGACCCCAAGCTCCCATAAAACCATTCTCCCTCTCACACATCCACATACGACAGGCAAGCACAGATGCACACCCGTCTCACAGTCATATGCACATGTAGACACAACATGTACAAACACAAGGTAAACATAAGCAATGGAATTGCTGGCTCATGCAGAGAATACACACAAACCGCTCTTTGCACACACACCACACACAAATATGCATGCACACACAAACAAAGCAAACACCCAAGGCTATCCCTACACCTCCGGTGTACACAAAGGCGCACAAATCCAGCACACCCATTGACACAGACAAACGCCTCCTGTAGGCACGCACCTCCAAGTGTGTGCACACAAACACACCCCCATAAACAAAGCAAAGACCCAGAAATATACACACACCTTCTGTCTGCACAGAGACACACACTCACAAACCAGCGAAACACACCATCAACCCCTCCCCTTCCTCCCTGCCCTAACATACACAAACCAGGGCCATATACAATTTAGCTCTGTAAAAAGATATTTATTCCTCAGCCTAGATTCCATATTGCACGCAGGGAGTAGCACTCTTTCATAGTCATATACTTACAACAACTTTAAATAAATAAAGTTAAGAAAAAGTCCAATATACGGTTGGGGAAAAAAAGACAACTCCCTCCCTCCCCTGATATATTTTTAAACATGTGTTTCAAACTGAATGGGGGGGGAAGCAATCAGAGGAAATGCGGTTTCTGAAGTTGGATAAAAGCTCATCACAGCAGGGGGGCAGTTTCAGACGTGGGTTCGTGTAAGAATTCAAGAGAGGTAAATGCCGAGATTATCAATACCCCCAAATCCTTCTGGGGATACATTTTATATATAAAGAGAAACTTTATCTATGGAACCAATGTCCAGGAGAAAAACTTTCCCACCTCAGCACCTCTGAAATCACACCGATTCTCTAATTCCTTGGACTGGGGGAAAGTGTGTTATTATTGACAAGTTGGTGGTGGGTTTTTTCCCCCCCTTTGCAGGAAAAACGGACAGCTGTGCCTTTAAATCCTGTGTGCAGAACTCCCCCACCCCCACCCCTTTTTGGATTGATCAGCAAAGCAGGTCAAGTCTAATTTAACCCACCTCCATTCCTGCGGAGTTCAAGTGATTTAAATGAAAACCGAGAGCTTGTTCTGTGCTCTGCTCCCAAACTGCATATCCAATTATGCAGAGGTAGAGCAAAGGGCCCAACCTTTGAAAACCCCGTCAGCCCCCATCCTCCCCAAAATAAACCCTTAAATCACGCAGCAACCCACCATATCCACGCTGAGATTCTCCTGAGTCTAAAACTAACTGCGTTTTTGTAAAATAAAAAATAAAATAAAAAAAGGCAACCAGCCATTTATAAAAGTTTTTAAAAAAAGAAGAAGATATTGTCATTGATTTTCCCCCTATCTGTTCCAACGCTTTTAGGAAAACAAAATGGAATGACAAAAATCGGCTCTTCCTCCTTTTGCACCCATTTTGGAAACAAAGCGACGTTATACAATTTATTATAAAGGAGCCTTGTATAGCTTAACCCTTAAAGGACTCCAGTGGTGCAAACTGATTATTTGTTGTTCCCAAATACAAACACACTTCTCAACATCCCAATCGGTCCAGGCCTTTTGCGCTCGTGATTTTTATCCAGGAGGTTTTGCTTCTTTTCGATAAAGCACCATATACTCCTTTTATTATTATTATTATTTTATTATTAAATTGGTTATTTATTTGCGTGTTTATTTATTTTAAAACCACACGATATCAAATTACGGCTGGGTTTTCCTTTTCATTTTTTTTGTATTGCATTGCAACAAGCCTTTTTTTTTAAAAAAAAAATCTTTTGGGAAAGAACATGGAGATTATTTCACGTTTCTGGCTGGGATCAATTTCTTTGCAACATGTAAACAAAGAGTCGGGGAAACCGTATTTCTTTAGCACAGAAGAGGGTGTCTCTGTTGCTTAAGTATACAAGGCGTGCGTGTTGTGGGGAAGAGAGGAAGTTTTGAGGTATATTATATTGTATTCACAGCCTCCATCACATTAGATAATGTATGTATGTGCGCATAGACAATAGTGCGTGTATGCAATCTGTGTGTTTCATATGTACACAGACACAAACACACACATATATACCCACACACTTTTTGAGGTGATTATATCCCTTAGAGAATATTCCTGAGTTATTTGTGTTACTGGTGTTTGTTGCTTTAGCAACATTGATAGCTAAAGTGTCTCTTTTCTGCTCAGTTTATCCAGGCTAAAAAAGACAAATTCTCTCTCCTTTTCACTTCACTGGCAGATTTGCATGTCCAAGGTCTTCAGGACCAGGCATATAATTAAAGAAAAACTAGCTAACACGTTCGGAATGGAGCCTGAGATTCCCAGCAGCCATGCACCCCTCTTGCAGAGTTTTTGAATATTTCAAACTGATCTCTCTCTCTCTCTCTTTGTGTGTGCGTCTTTGTTGACATTATCCCAAGCTCTTGCATAAATAACAGTGGTTTGTAATTAACACACGCCACAAATCTGTTTGCAAATTCCTCCCCCTTCCTTCCCTCCCCCAAAAAACCCCCAAACAAACCCTGGAAAATACATTTGTAAAAATCTGCTTTGGATCTTGCAGCTACGAGTCCAGAAGCAAAATGTGCAGATTGAAGCGGGCGTTGGAGAACCGCATTCCCCTTAAGACATTAAAAGGAAAACAACAAGATTATTTCTCTCGGTGTGTGCCTCTTTCCCTCTCTCCTGGGCTTTGCTTTTCAAATCCCCTATTCGGGCAGCTAGGACGACCAGCGCAGTGTATGTATGCGAAGAATAAAAGACTCCATTTTTGTACGCGTGTGTACATTGGAGACAAGGACTTAGTCTGCTAGAAAGAGGTTTAAAAGCAAACTGCAGAAGGGAGAGAGACTTCCAACAGAACAGGTATTTCTCTCACACAGCAGACAGCAGATTTTTATAACCTTCCACAGTTATTGCACGGGCATAGGAGAAATCCCACCCATTTTGTTTAAACGGAGAAAAAAAACCAATCAATTAAAAATGCAAAACAAAGAAAACCCCCCCACAGAGGAATGTTTTTAGCATCAAAATAATTCAATAGGCCTAAGAGAAAAAAATAAATTATTGAAGAGAAAATATTTTTGGCCTGTTATGGATAATTTTTTCCACCAACGATGGAATGACATTAAAAATCTAAATCACCAGTGGCCAGGCTTGACTATTTGCTTTGATTATAATTCTATAATGATCCACAACTTTTCTTTCTTTCTTTCTTTCTTTCTTTCTTTCTTTCTTTCTTTCTTT